GGTACCATTTATTATTTTTTGATCTTAGAGCCTGAGCTGTTGGTGTTCTGTTCAGGAAGTTGTCTTCTTTACCAATGAGTTCAAGGCTCTTCCCCGCTTTCTCTTCTAATAGATTTAGTTTATCTGGTGTTTTTTGAGGTCTTTGGTCCATTTGGATTTGAGTTTTGTGCAGGTAGATAAATACAGTCTATTTATATTTTTCTACATGTAGACATCTAGTTAGGCCAGCACCATTTGTTGAAGTTGCTTTCTTTTTTCCATTGTATGTTATGACTCCTTTGTCAGAAACAAGTGACTATAAGTATGTGGGTTTATTTCTGGGTCTTAGATTTGATTCCATTGATCAATTAGTTCATGCCAGTGCCATGAAATTTTTAATACTATTGCTCTGTAGTATAGCTTGAATTCACAGACGAGGATACCTCCAGGAGTTCTTTTATTGTATAAGATTGTTTTAGGTATTTTGTTTTTGTTTCTTTGTTTTTCCCCTTATGAAGTTGAGAATTGTTCTTTCCAGGTCTGTAAAGAATTGTGTTGGTGTTTTGATGGGGATTGCATTGAATCCATAGATTGCCTTTGGTAAGATGGCCATTTGTACTATATTAATCCTATTGATCCACAAGCGTAGGACATCTTTCCATCTTTTGATATCTTCCTCAATTTTTTTCTTTAAAGACTTGAAATTCATATCGGTGTTTCACTTGCTTGGTTACAGTTACACCAAGATACTTTATATTATTTGTGGCTATTGTGAAGGGTGTAGTTTCCCTCATTTCTATCTTAGCCCATTTGTATACAGGAGGACTACTGAATTTTTTATTTAATCTTGCATTCAGCCACTTTGCTGAAGCCATTGATCAGCTGTAGGAGTTCCCTGGTAGAATTTTGGGGGTTGCTTAGGTACACTATCATATCATCTGCAAATAGTGATACTTTGACTTCTTCCTTTCCGATTTGTATGCTCTTGATCTCCGTTAGTTGTCTTACTGCTCTACCTAGAACTTGAGGTACTATATTGAAGAGGTATGGAGAGGGTGAGCAGCCTTGTCTTGTCCCTGGTTTTAGTGGAATTAATTGATTTGAATTTCTATTCATTTAATTTGATGTTCGAAATCGGCTTATCCTCTGTTATGTTTAGATATGGGCCTTGCATCACTGATCTCTCCAATACTTTCATCATGAAGTGATGTTGGAATTTGTCAAAGCCTTTTTCTGCATCTAATGAGATGATCATGTGATATTTTTACTTTGTGCTTGTTTATATTGTGGATAACATTGATGGATTTTCTAAAGTTGAACCATCTTTGTATCCCTGGGATGTAGCCAACTTGGTCATGGTAGGTGATGTATTTGATATTTTCTTGGATTCAGTTTTTGAGTATTTTATTGAGTATTTTTGCGTTGATGTTCATGAGTAAAGTTGGTCTGATACTCTCTTTGTTGGATCTTTGTGTGGTTTAGGTATCAGGGTGACTGTGACTTCATAGAATGATTTTGGCAATGTTCTTTCATTTTCTGTTTTGTTGAATGGTTTGAGGAGTATTGTTATTAGCTCTTTTTTAAATGTCTGGTAGAATTCTGTGCGCAAACCATCTGGACTTGGGCATTGTTTTTGGTTGGGAGACTTTTGATGACTGCTTCTATTTCCTTAGGGTTTATAGGACTGTTTAAACTGTTTACCTGGTCTTGATTTAGCTTTTGTAGTTGAACTCTATCCTTAAAATCATTCCTTTCTGTTAGATTTTTTTTTTCAATTTTTTGGAATATAGACTTTTGAAATAAGCTTAATAATTTTTTTTATTTCCTCAGTGTCTGTTGATCTGTCTTCTTTTTTTTTTCTTTCTGATTTTGTTATTTTGAATACTACCACTCTGCCTTTTAGTTAGTTTGGGTAAGGGTTTGTCTGTCTTGCTGGTTTTCACAATGAACCAGCTCTTTGCTTCATTGATTCTTTGTATCGTTCTCTTTTGTTTTGATTGATTGATTTCAGCTCTGAGTTTCATTATTTCCCGTCATCTTCTCCTCTTTGATGTAGCTGCTTTCTTCTGTTCTAGAGCTTTCGGGTGTGTTGCTAAGTTCCTAGTATGGCAGCTCTCCAATTTCACTATGAAATTGGTGCTTAGTGCTATGAACTTTCCTTTTAGCACTGCTTTCATGGTGTCCCATAAGTTTGCGTATGTTGTGCCTTCATTTTCATTGAACACTAGAAAGTCTTTAATTTCTTTTTTATTTCTTCCCCATCCCAGTGGTCACTGAGTAGAGAGCTGTTCAGTTTCCATGAATACTTAGGCTTTCTGTTGTTGTTGAGTTTCAGCTGTGATCCACGGTGGTCTAATAAGATACTGGGGGTTATTTCAGTCTCCGTGTATCTGCTGAGGCTTGTTTTGTGATTGAGTGTATGGTCAGTTTTGGAGAAGGTTCTGTGAGGTGCTGAGAAGGTATATTGTCTTGTGTTTTGGTGAAATGTTCTGTAGTTATCTTTTAGGGCCATTTGATTCATGATGTCTGTTAGTTTCTTTATTTTCCTATTTAGCTTCTGTCTTGATGATCGCTCCATTGGAGAGAGTGGGGTGGAGTGAGTGGGGCGAGGCTTCCACTATTAATGTGTGGGGTTTTGTGTGTGATTTAAGCGTTAGTAATGTTTCTATTACAAATGAGAGTGCCCTTGCATGTGGGACACAGATGTTCATAATTAAGATGTCATCTTGTTGGATTTTCCCTTTCATGAGAATGTAGTGTCCTTCTCCATATCTTTGGATTAATTTTGGTTGAAAGTGTTATTTTATTAGATAGTAGAGTAGCATTCCAGTTTTCATCTTATGTCTGTTAACTAGGCAAACCTTTTTCCAGTCCTTTACTCTGAGGTAATATGTCTATCATTATTGCTGAGGTGTGTTTCCTGTATGCATCAGAAAGATGGGTCCTGTTTTCATATCCATTTTGTTAACCTGTCTTTTTATTGGCGAGTTGATGCCATTGATTGCCCCAAACAGCGGGGAGGGGTGGGGGGGTGTTTCAACTGGTTCCTAAGGAGGGGTGAAAGGAATGGGGTAGGACAAGAGACATGATGAATGAAGACCAAGACAATTT